GAGATTCAGTTTTATATTGTCACTGAAATCAGTGCTAAAGCAATCAATCTGTGCTAAAGCCTGCTTGAGCATAAAAGATCCTCTTAACTTCAAGTCTTAGCTAGTGTTGGAAAAACTACTTGTGCGTGACAAAGACAAAGTAACAATATGAGAAAATGACAAACCAGAACAGTTAAGTTTGGGAAATGCATTTCACCTCAAACATAAACAAACTCATCTTTGTCACAGTAAATGTACTTTCTGTATTGACATGAACATGAAATATTTTGTCCGTGTTGAAGCCCATCCCAGTCACAGAGACCAGTCTCAACTTCCAAGGAACCTGCCCAGTTAGAGGATGGAGGTGACGGAAGCAAAGGTACAAGGAACAACACAGAAACTTTATCAGCTTTGCAATCAATAAATTTTTTACAAATTAATTCAAATTAAACACAAAACATTGCAAATTCATAGTTAGATTTAACTGCAGGTATAACACACTTTTAGGGATGTAACGATATACTCAATTTACAATTTGAACAGTTCATGATACTGGGTTTACAGTACAATTTTCCAATGATATTTTGAACAAAATGAGAAAAAAAACAAAAAAACAAAATTATGACAAAAAATTTTTTCTCAAATTATAGAATCTTTTTTTTTATTTCTGAGGTAGAGTATAACAGTGCGAAACAATGTGTATTTCCTTTTGTTAAGTGAAACCACCATTAATATTACAATTCATTTTTCATTTCACCAATTTGAATCTTCACATATTTGTATCATGATTTAAAAGTCTCCCTATACATCTTTACATTCCTACACATCATGTGACATTGTATTTATAGCTGGCATTATATATTTAGCTTTATTTGTATTTTGTTTATCATTTCTTTAGGCAAAGATGTCAAAAACAAAGTCACAGCAGACCTGAAGAAGAGAATCCTCAGTCAGTATGAAGATGAACTTAAAAAACATGAAACTGACACAGAACTCTATAGGACAGATGAAAATAAAGCAGAAACCTACAAAACATTATTTCAGAAGTCAAAGAAAGAAGAAGTGCGAACAGTGTTAATGAAAGGAGTTGCTGGTGTTGGTAAAACACTTCAAACAAGGAGGTTCATGGTGGACTGGGCAAAAGGAAAAATCGACAGCAACATAGACTTGATAGTGTCATTTCATTTCAGGGAGCTCAATTCAAGAAGAGAAGCTCAAAGCTTGAAAGATCTTCTTCATCCCCTCAATGAAAAAGACTGTAAGTGTAAAGTAGTGTTTGTCCTTGATGGCTTGGAAGAATGTAAACTTCCTCTGGATTTTAAAAACAACAAAGAACTGACTGACATGGAAGAGCCAGCCTCGATGGATGTGCTGTTAACAAACCTCATCAAGGGGAAACTGCTTCCCTCTGCTCATCTCTGGATCATCTCTCAACCTTCAGGAGTAGAGAAGATTCCTCCTGAATATATTCAGAAAGTGACTGAATGTCGAGGTATGAAACAATGACAGTGACATATTTTCATTGCTCATATTTAGTATTGTGTGATCCATATCATGTGTCATTTTGTCGGACTGGGAAATAATGCAAGCGCTGCAATCCAAAAAATTATAATGTTATGTAAAACATCTTATAAACTTTTCTGAGCTTCACTTCAAACAAATGTGCTTCAGTTTCAATTTGAATATTTAAAAACCCTACTTAAAAATCTTATTGTGGTCTTACTTGCATATTTTGTTGTACTATATATACGTTTTGGTGGCTATGTTCTAAAAGTAAATAATTCATGACACATATACTGTATCCTTCATCATCAGTAATGTGCTGAACTTTGTTCTGTTCAATCAGAAACCTCAAAGCGATGGCAGAAGCTGATATCAGCCCTGAAAGAAAGATTTCGTAAAGAAAACACTCAAGATGACATAAATCATCCAAACCAGAAAGACACAGAGCACATCATCAGAGAAGACAGAAGAAGTGAGGTTGACGATGAAGTGAAAAATGGACAAACTGTGAAACGAGTGAATGAAGTATCTGAAATCTTCAAAGCTGCAAAGGGACAAACAATAAGAATTGTGCTGACTGTCGGAGAAGCTGGTATTGGAAAAACCTTCCATGTGCAGAAATTTGAAAAAGAGTGGGCTAAAAATGAGAAAAGGTCGCTTTTAACATGGCTTTTGGATTCAGCAAAAGCCATCGTGGGCAAAGCCAAAGATGATGAAGTTATATTTCCACTTAACTTCTCCGAGCTTAATTTGATAAAAAAGAAGAAATTCAGTTTGCTTGGACTTCTTAATCCTTTCTTCGAGGAAACAAATGAATTTGTAATCTCGAACTTTGAGCAGTTAAAAGTTTTATTTGTCTTGGATGGACTGGATGCTTATAAACCGCCTCTTGACTTTAAAGACAACACCACCTTAACTGATGTCAGCGAGCCAGCTTCAGTGGATGTGCTGTTGACAAACCTCATCAGAGGAAATCTGCTTCCTTGTGCCCGGCTCTGGATCACATCTCAACCATCAGCTGCAAATCAGTTGCCTGATGACTGTGTCGAAAGGAAAACAGAAACGACGATGTAAGATTATGGGTGTGGATGAAGGCAGTCAAGGGAAGCTACCAAATCCATGCATGTCTGAAATGTCTTAATCATTGTTTTAAAATCAAACAGTGGTCATGAGGTAGCATAAATACTCAAAATAGACATTAAATTAAAAAGAGTCCTGAAAAACACCCACTTTTGCTTGTAAGGCTTCTAATAACATAGACAGTATGTCAAAGAGAGGTCGGTGAAATCAAACCAAATTGATGCCGTAAGTTAGAGGTGGTGTTACACTAGACTGCTATATACTGAAAGGCCTTTATATGTTTGCCCAGCCCCTTTTACACACATGAGAGGGACAAGGCTTACGGTATTGTAATATTGAAGTCCTAAAGAGAAATAATAAACAGAAATCACGAGGCACCCCTCTCCAGATGTGATGCAATTTTACATGTTTAAAAACAACAGAATAATAGTAATTATAATGAATAATCATACATTTGAAATAAATAATGCACCTTAGATTTAATGAGCTGCACTATGATTGTACTCTAGACATTTAAACACAGTTTATCTATTTCTGTCAACAATAACATTTGCTACTTTCCTACAGGTAAACCTGATGTTGTAAGTCAAAAGAAACTCAAATCTCAGCTGAAGGAACAATTTACCCTTGTGTCTGAGGGGATCGATATGCAGAAAACCTCTGCCCTTCTCAATGAGATTTTCACAGATCTCTACATCATAGAGGGTGAGAGAGGAGAGGTCAATGATCAGCATGAAACCAGACAAGTTCAAGGCGCAAGGTTCAAACCAGTGACAGAAGAAACATTAATTAAATATCATGACATCTTCAAACCAGCATCTGGAGAAAATATTCCCATTAGAACTGTGCTAACAATCGGAGTGGCAGGCATCGGAAAGTCATTTGCTACAATGAAGTACATGCTGGACTGGGCTGAGGGTACTGCCAACGAGGACATCTTTTTTATGTTTCCACTTTCTTTTCGGGAGATGAATTTGAGAAAAGAGGAAAACCATAGCTTGGAGAAACTTCTTAATATTTTTTTTCCAGCTATGGAAACGTCAGAAATAACAGACTATGACAAGTACAGAATTCTGATTGTCCTGGATGGTTTTGATGAATGTCGCCTTGATCTTGACTTCACTGAAAGGAACAGTTGCACGGATGTGAGAGAGACAACCTCACTGAATGTTCTGCTGTCAAACCTCATCCAAGGAAACCTGCTTCCTAAAGCTCAAATCTGGATCACGTCCCGACCTGCAGCATCCAACGGTATCCCTCCTGGTAAAGTGGACCGGGTTACAGAGGTGCGAGGATTCAATGATGAGCAGAAGGAGAAGTACTTCATGAAGAGATTCAGTGATAAAGATCTGGCTGAGAAAATCTTGTCACATGTCAAGAAATCAAGGAGTCTTTATATCATGTGTCACATCCCTGTCTTCTGTTGGATCACGTCAAAAGTTCTGGAAGACCTTGTGAAGAGAAATGAAGAAGGGACCATGCCCAAGACTCTGACTGACATGTACATACACTTCCTTTTGTTACAATGCCGACAGGCTAATGTGAAGTATGGTGGAGATGAGACAGGTGAGAGTTCTGAGACAGATTCATTCTGCTATACAAGCAACCGGGAAACAGTCATATCTCTGGGGGAACTGGCCTTCCAGGGGCTAGAAGAAGGAAATCTTCTCTTCACTGAAGAAAACTTGAACAAGTGTGGTGTTAACATCACAGAAACTGCGGTCTTCTCGGGATTATTCACTCAGATTAAACGAGAAGGCTGTGGGGTGTCCCAACAGAAATTGTTCTGCTTTGTCCATCTGAGCATTCAAGAGTTCCTGGCTGCTTTTTATGTCTTTCACACATTCAGTGACAAAGGTGAAAATCTGCTCACAAAACCCGCTTCCACAGTTGCTGCATCTGACTTCTACAAGACAGCAGTGGACATGGCTTTAGATAGCAAAAATGGAGACTGGGATCTGTTTCTCCGCTTCTTACTCGGCCTCTCTCTGGAGACCAATCAGAATCTACTGCAAGAGCTTCTGAAAAAGACAAAAAAAGAAAATAACGAGGAGACCAACAAGGCAACAATCCAGTACATCAAGGAAAGAATTAGGGATGAAAACAGTGATCCTGATAAAAACTGCAATCTTTTCCACTGTCTGAATGAGCTGAATGACAACTCTCTTGTGGCAGAAGTGAAAATGTACCTGCACTCTGAAACACACACATTTGAAGATTTCACCCCCTCACAGTGGTCAGCTCTGACCTTTGTGCTTCTGACATCTGATGAGGAGCTTGATGTGTTTGACCTGAAAAAGTACCTGAAATCAGAGAAAGTTCTGCTGGGAATGATGCCGGTGGTCAAAGTCTCCAAAACTGCTTTGTAAGTACTTTCAGAAATGATGCCGTCTCATGTATGATCTTGCAAATATGATCTGATTATCTTTCTCTACAGTGCATAAAAAGCAAATATATTTATTTCAAAACTGAAGTCTGTTTACATTTTCCATGATGGCCATGGAAAATAGCATAATGGGCAACAATAAGTCCTGTTTTGGCAATCCAGATGAGGCTGGTAAAAATCTTCTTCATTTTGGCCCCTTGTCTGTCGACCAATGTGGTTAGGATTAGGCTACAAGTTGGGCCTATGTTTTATTGATACACAAAGTGAAATGTGCCATTAGTTGGGAGAAGCTCTGTTGCTAAAAGGTGACATTATGTCCTGCAGTTGGTATCAGATTGTGCTGAAATGTTTAATTCCAATCTAAGAAACCCATTTTTATCTTTAGGTTTTATGCCAGTTTCTCCAAATATAGCTTGAGTTGAAGAGGATCATAACGCATACGAGACTGTGGTGTGTCACCATAAAAAATTATATTTTAACCATGACTGATGTGTGTCAATTGTGCACCAACTATACTACAAGGTACTCAGAAGGAGGCTTTCTTAAACAAATAACTTTTTAACTAATATTTTATATTAAATATATTATAATTAAGTTAATTATTCTTTACTATGTTCAATAATTTAACATATACATTTTAAACCAATTCTAACTGCTGTAGAGAACGAAGGCACAGGATCTGGTGGAGACAATGGGGGAGCCACGAGAAGATAGATAGATAGATAGATAGATAGATAGATAGATAGATAGATAAAGAATAGAGGATATTTGGCTAGCAGATAGAATTTCTGCTTGTCAAAGGACTCATACCTGCTGGCTAGCTAGAGTACCTGAGCTGCTGGAGGGAGCAATGAGACAGTTTTCCACTGTTGTGTAGCACATGTATACTCTAATACAACCCCTTTAATTATACTGGACCAGTTCTAGGTTCAACGGAGTGGGGTAATGATACAAAATGAAACCAGAGACCAGGTACTTTAAATACAAAAGCCGGCAGTTTACTGAAATTTAACATAGACAATACACATAACACATAGAACCAGTGAATAGTCACAAGAAAAGTAAAGTAGAACTCACTTTCCCTTTTTTTTTCTCACCTAGGTTTGAAATTATTTGGTTTAGATTTTTATATAACAAACCAAACAATATTAACTGCTTATCAGTATGTGTATAGCTTTTCCCAGTTACACTGTTATCTCTTCGCTAGCGTTCATTATATTGCAACAAAGCTTCAACGAAAAGAATTGAAACTCACCAAAAGCGCTGTGGTTTACTCATATAAAATCCTCATGAACCCCGACCAAGCAGGTGTTACTTTTCAGCTTCTAAATCAACCTTCATTAAAGTATTTTGCTTGTTAATTTTTCTGCTTCTCCTCTCTGCTCTCTGCCTCATTGTTGCTATGTCAACAAACGGCAGCGAGTCTCTTAAAGGGGAAGTTCATGAGAATTTCTTACAGCCATTTTTTAAAAGTGTATTTTTTTGGGGCGTTTATTTCCTTTATTATAGTGACAGCTGAAGATAGACAGGAAAGGGGGGCAGAGAGAGGGGATTCGAACCCTGGGCCGCTGCAGCAAGGACTCAGCCTCGGTACATGGGTCGCCAGCTCTACCCACTGAGCTAACCGGGTGCCCCTTATGGCCATACTTTTAACTGTTTATATTAAATTAAAGTTAAACAGTTATTAATTGATTCTTACATGAATGCATTTTAGTGAACTTATTTATGCATTTTTATAAATTACTTCTATTTATTACATTTCAATGTGGGTTACAGTTGTCCCAATTTTGACAACATAACAAAGGTCCAGGTGACAGTGGAGATTTTTTGGTGTGGAGTCCTAGATGTTGTTTTTCTGACTTCCTGTGTTGTGATTAATTCAGAATAGGGCATGGTGTAGTTCCGTTCCCCTAGGAGGCAGCAGGACCCAGGGCCACAAAGGAATTAAGGAGCCGCTTGTCTTCTTTAATCTGGTTTGAAATGGACGGATGCTCCCTTCCATTCCTTTCTTCCTTTTGTGGCTCTAGTCTCTTGTCGATGGGTTGAATATTGTATAACAGTTGGTGTAAATTTGGTGTAATCGCAATGCGACTACTAATGTAAATGAAAAGATAAGTAATAGTTTTAAGAGAGCTCTCAAGATTGAGGATATTCAAATCAAGGAGCAGTTGGGGGACAGAGATAACACAACTGATAGACAGACGCGCATACGCTCAGTGTCAGATGAGACTGGAGTAGGGGATCATACATTCAGGAAAACAAGAAATGACCTCACTGTATTCTCACTTCTTATTATCCAAAAGTATTAAACACAGTAAACCTGCACAACAACAACTGAGATTCACTTCCAGTCTGTTGTGTTTCTGTCTTCACAGTGTTAGGAATGAGGAATCATGATTTTGCCACTCCACTAGTGACTCTGTGTCTTCATCACTGCAGATGTTTCTGATTTCTGATAACACATTTGTTCACAGGTTGAGTTGGTGCGAGCTCTCTGAAGAATCCTGCAAAAGTCTGTTGTCTTCAGTCCTCAGCTCCCCGTCCTCTAATCTCACACAGCTGGACCTGAGTCATAATGACCTGCTGGATTCAGGTGTGCAGATGATTGCTGATGGCCTAAAGAGTCTTCACTGTAAGCTAGAGATTCTAAAGTAAGTGGACATTACATTTATTGTATTGTGAGTTACAGAAAACCTACACAGTATCATCAACAAGAATGGTGGGTTGTTATGAGTAGTTTTTGGTATAGTTATTCCAAAGAGCAAAAAAAAATCCATTAAGCACAGAAGAAAAAGTTTTGGTAAAGTACATTTATGTCAGAATGGAATAAAAACTCCCAAAAAGGCAAGTGAGTGCTCGTCCTTGCATCCGCTCTTTAAGTACCCTGCTAGGGAGTTAATGTGCTCATGTTTGCATAAAGTTGCAAAAAGCAGACAACAAGGAATCCACCCAATCCACTAGCCTCTCTAACTCCGTGCAATCTCAAATTCAACATTACTTTTATCATTCTTTCTGAAAAAAATAAAATAATTGGCTTATATCCTGGTCTGGGTTAATACTCGATTCTAATTGGTTGCTGGGTATCCATTAATTCCCCAGTGAAACTGTCTGTTTATCAGGATGGCGACTGTAACACACAAGACCCCACACTGCCCCTGTTGAACTAACTGATACTTTGTATAAGCAATCCTCCTACATCCTGTCTGCTATCCAGTTCGCTACTTTAGGTCCTATCGTTCAGGAAAATCTTGATATTGATTTGCGCACAATGACAAGGCTGGATAGCTAGCTGGTCTAGTTACTAAACATGCTGTCAATATATATGTACTGTTTGTCAACCATACACAGTGTAATTTTTATGTAAGTTTTCTTACCTTTGGAAAAGAACCTGGATTCAGTTTCCTTTCAGCTCCCCATAAAACACAGTGTTATCATAACTGTACCAAGATAGCCAGGATAAATGTGCCCACTGATGTCAATTATTTATTTCTTATTTACAAAAAATGCTTGAGAAAAATAATGAAGTCAGTTCATCAAGTGTAGCATTTGATCGTCAAACCTTGATACAATTAACATTAATACAATGGCCATGGAAAAGAAATGTTTCATCGGCTGACTTGACTGTTCGCATAATATTACTTCAAAAAAGACAAAATAATCCTTCTAAATCAGTAAATCAGGTATAAACTGCAGGGAACTATAACAATTACACTTCTACTTGAAGCTGTGATACTGCACGATTTCAATGGCGTGTGTGTGTGTGTGTACATGTTTGTGTGTGTGTACATGTTTTTGTGGTCTGCAGGTTGTCAGGTTGTCAGGTGACAGAGAAAGGCTGCTTATCCCTGGCCTCAGCTCTTAAGTCAGAGAAAAAGTCGTCCCTGAAACAGCTGGATCTGCGCTACAACCACCCAGGAGCCAATGGAAAGACGGAGCTCACTGCTATAGCAGAGGATCCAAATATGAGCTTGAAGGAACTCTGGTATGTTAAGATGTCAATTTGTGCACATCTGTGGTGATATAGCTTATTCTCCTAAACTTGAGACTAGATATATACACTCAGGGGAAAGCTACCAAAACACTCAATAATCACTTGTGGTGTTGATAAGAGGAAATGTGCAAAGCCAAAAAACTCACTGTGACCCCATTTACACTTGACATTAACATGCAATCTGTATCTGGATATACTATCTGGATGAAGGAAAAATGCATGTTACAGTAATGCAAGGTGTAAATGCACAGAGAACCCATTGTGACAATCAGTACAGCATGACCCCGTTCTTAAGAAAGATATCCATCCAATAAGCTGAAAATCACCTTGCTTCTTACTGTGAGCTTATACAAGCCTGATAAAAGCTACAGGTAGCTAGCAGGCCTTCCATTGCAAAAAAATAAAAAAGAATAATGCCTAGTAGAGCTGACACCCAATGTACCAAGGCGAGTCCTTGCTGCAGCACCCATGGGTTTGAGTCCGACCTATGGCTCTTCTTCTTGTCTGTCTCAAGCCTTAGCAATCAACAACTCTATCGCAGTGGTTGCCAACCTTTTTGACTTAAAGTAAAGCTCTATCTTCTTGTGACCGCCTCATCACAGGTTGCAAATATCGCTCTGAGGTGGCCTGTTCTGTCAAATTATCCAGTCACAACTTACAAAAGGCTTTTGAAATAATTGTATTCAATGTGGAAATTTATGTTCCTGACAACACTGTCTTCATGTTTTTGTAGTTTGGACCATGATGGAGAGCATCGGTTAAAGCCAGGACTGAAGAAGTGTAAGTATTTTTCTGGAAATGATTTCCAATAATTTATCACCTCTGTAGAAGCTTTGACTCTATGCTAATGTCTGATACATTTGAAATGAATGTCAAATAATATGTCTTTGTCCCCAAACTCAACTGGTCATATAGTAGTAAAACTTTCAAATCCAATTCAACATTTCAAACAATTCATATTCACTTTTCTTTAGATTTCATCTTGAATTTATGTTGTTTCTATTTTATTTAAACAACATCAATGTTTTATAGTCTTTTAACTGCACAAAAAACACTAAACACAGACACTCAAGCACTGAATTATGTAATGTTTGTTTCTCTATCAGATGGTGCAGATCTGAAGCTTGATGAAAACACAGCAAGCAAGAGGCTTGTTTTGTCTGAAGGAAACAGGAAAGTAAAAACTGTGAAGAGGGTGGAGGAGAAGGTGGAACGACCTGAAAATGAGGACCGGTTCATGAGGTCTCAGGTCATATGTGAGGAGGGTCAGAAAGGCCTCTGCTACTGGGAAGTGGAGTGGAAAGGGACAGTTGGCATTGCAGTGGTGTATGGAGGAGTGAGCAGAAAATGGGACAGTAGTGGTGGGCTGGGATGCAATGAGATGTCCTGGAGTCTGATCTGCTCGAAGACTGGATACACTGCTATACATGGGCAGACATCCAGACGTATTGAAGGGCCCCCTTGCGAAAAAATAGCAGTGTTACTGGATTGGGAAGGTGGTACTGTGACTTATTACAGTGTCACATCTGGAAAGCTGAGCCTCATACACACCTTCGAGGCCAAATTCACAGAGCCCCTTTTCCCAGGCTTCTGGTTTAAGAACGGCTCTGCGACTTTGTGTGAAATAGACTGAACCCCTCTGCGATGTCATCATGTAGTGATCACTCGATGCTCCACTTGACATTTTGATAGATTAGAGAAAAGTATACGTGCATCATTTTATTACCATAATGTGAAACATGACTACATCATGTTGTTTTTCTACCTGTTCATACAGTAAGTCTTTATATTAACATTGTGATGGCGACATGAAGTGAAAGAAATCCCAATTTGTTAATGTATGTTAATAATGTCATAAAGAAAACTCATTTTTAAAACTGAAGTATATATTTTACTTGTTTCTCATTTCTCATTTTCACAGCATGTTGTCAAAACATTTACTTGCTATAGTCAACATTCTTTTTTCTTTATGTGTATAATGTATATTGTGTTTGTGTGAGCTGATAGTAATAAGTAATGAGTATTCAAGAGTTCCTTAAAGTTAATTTTTTTTTACTGTTGTAATGTAATGTATTTTATGTTATAATGTATGTATCTGTATGCTAACACACAGTTTGTTATTAGAGAACCTCTGTACTACTGCCATACTCTGTTGTTATTTTTTAAATCTTATTTGGTGCAGGACATGAATGCAAAGATAGAGAAAAGTTTTGGATTTTTGTGATTTATGTTGTTTTGCATGTACAATGTCTTGATGGAAGAAATAAAGCTACTTTTATTTAACTAAACTGACTTGTATGTGTGTACTATAACATGCCTCCAATGTAAGCGATGGAAGACAGTTTTTATTCAGTGCTAAGATACAGTATATTCCAAAGTTTATCAATCAAGTGTTTCAAACAGAATTTCCTGTTTTTGTTTTCCTGGACAGTGTTTCCTTGCTAAAATTCATCCCTGGTTTTGTCTCTGTCTTTCTGCCATTTCTTCTTATGTTTGTCTTTCTCTCTTTCCCTTCATCTTTATCCAGATGAAAAAGTGCCCTGGGTTAGGGTGAACACAGCTTGCAGTGTTCATTCTGTAGATACCCCACCTACCCCACTTCGAATAAATTGGGAGCCAATTTCCAATTTCCCACAGCTAACTCAAAACTAAACATTGAGAAACTAAATGTTAAATATCCTTAACATTATTTTATAATTTCAGCTCAAATAAGAAACTCTGGTTGTTGTCCTGGAGGCCAATTCACATACTGCTATAAACATGTGTACTTAAAAATAGATGTACAGATTACGAAAGTAGTAAACTAGTAGTATAACTATACATGATTCCTATAAGACACAGACTTTAACACACAGTGTTTATATAACATTTAATGCCACATTTCATTTATTCATGCCTCTCTTTCTTTCACAGCAGAATGCATGTGCGTGCAAGTGTGTGTGAGCATCTGAATGTAGGCGGTAATGAATTACACCCATGAAGGACAGGCCGGAATGAAAGCTGGAGCAAAAGGAGGGGAAAATGTGCACTGAAAGGAGACGTCGGGGACAATGTAGCAACCAGCAAACTGAAGGCCTCTTTGCACAAGCTGCCTCAGTGTCTCTATAAACCTAATTCTTGACCAAATCTTTGAAGAGGCTGAAAAACCAACAATTGAACATTTAGTTCTGGGTCCACATCAGAGACCTCATAAAAACAACAGACCTGTTTGATTCATTCAGGATCTTTCGTGGTTCAGCTTCTTTCTCTCAGTACCATTGATCTGCTGCTGCTAATTGACAACACATTCAGAGCGCCTCACGCTCTTTCTGTCTCGCTCTGCCTCTGTCCCTGAAGATTTGTTTTGATTAGACAGCAAGCCATGAGCTGAATGAATGAGTGTTTGTGTGGGTGTGCTGAATGGAGACAAGGGACTTTGTGCGTGTATGAATGTCACTGCTTTAGAACTTTAGTTAGAAACTGTAAATAAATCAAAATGAAAAAAGTGAAAGCAAATCTTAAGGTACATGACAGAGTTGTCGGATAGATCTGTGCGTGCAGCCAACTTAAACCATAAGAACTGCTCTTTGTGCCATCATTTGCAATGAAAGGTGGTTTGAGTAGGTAAAAATGCAAGCATGATTTTATAAGCACAATTACAATGTGCTACCTGATCTGCATTACCGCAATCTCACATGTTTTGTATGTAGACGTATATAGGCCATGTGTTTAAAATACACCTACAAGAAATACAAGAAGATGCACTGTTTTATAGAAAGCAACAGTTTTTCCAGGAAGTTTTCGGGTTCTTTAATCATCTACCCTTATCCTACCCCATGGTCCAAACCCTTTGCATGATCTTAAACCCAAAATGTAAGCTTACCTTAACCATAACCAAGTTCTAACCTTCAAAAAGCCATGCAGAGTAATAATGATTGTCCAGAATATCCTTGCTTCTTCAAAATGTCTTCACTCTTAGAAGCCTCAAACTTGGTCCTTGTAAAGATAGTGTGCAGAAGTCTCAAAGCTGGCTGTAGAACTGATTTACTTTCCTTCACAGCTGACTGTCTCTTCGTGACTTCTCTCTCTTTTCTCTCTTCGAGTCTAAACTAAATATTTAAACTTTAAAGCCTCTCTAAATATTAACCTGAACATTCATTCCGAACAGTGATTTGTGATTTTACTGTCTGCTCTTGTGTGTCTCTTTTTAACCGGCTGTTTGGTTCCCCGACGTAGACCCCATTCACTGGCAGGGTCAACTATGTGAGGTTCGCTTGATTTACATCGTCAGGCACATCAGAACTGCTTTAACAGTTCAAAAAGGAAGCTATAATTGTGCTGTGATTTAGTAAGCCGCAGTAAAGCGAGTGCAACACAAGTATTTGAAATATTTCAACTTTGACATTGTGTGAATGAATGAAAATAAGGGCTTTCAGCACCCTTCACTTCCACCACTCCAAACCCGTGCCCTGCAGCCCGGACAGACAAAGTGAATTAGACTCTGATAGCTGCTTCTTTACACGTATCACATTTGTGTAATAATGTTTGTGTGTGTGTGTGTGTGTGTGTGTGTGTGAGTGTGTGGGTCCAAAGTGTTATGTCATTTAATACTTTGGCCAAAAGAAGTAACATATTTTGTGTTTGCCTGTGTGTCTGTGTGATTTGTATTAGCACAGTTTGTACATCTGAGTCGTGTTATTGTGTGTGTGTGTATTCAAGATGTCATTTAATCCATCCATCCTCAGGTGGTTGTTCCCACCCTGCACGTCCACTCCACCTCTCATAGACCAATCACATTCCACATTCCTCCAACTTCCCAGGATCCCGGGGACCCAGGGTGCACGGCTGCGGGGCGTTACCATGGCGTTGGGGTGATGAGGTCACCCCCCCTTTGGTACTTCAGTGATTAGATGAGAGCCGATGGGGTAAGATAGGAAGGGATAAAGAGAGAGAGGGAGAAAGAACATTAGAACACCTTCTATTAAAACATTTGTATGTTTTATTAGGTGTACAAACGTCTATTTATGAGAACCCTCACTAACAGGCATTTCCTAACATAAGTCCTGTACCCCAATCTTTAAATCTGAATTTACTTGTAATATTAACCCTAAAACAAAGTCTGAGTCAGGAAATCCAACTCAAACCAACCATTTTCTTTGGGTTTAGTCTTTTATGTTGTTCAGGACAAAGATGAAATGCTTGATGAGATGTAATAAGACATAATCGGTAATAAGATCAGCCTCCTCTCTCTCACTGTCTAATTCGTCTATATTTGCTCATTAGTGAGCGTCTGTATTGATCACCTGTCAACTACAATCTAAACCAACAATGGTGGTTAACATCACGCACCTTACCACCAGCAGCTATTCGTTCACGGTTAGTAAAAGAGAAATATAAGCATGTTAGAATACACAACGATGGTTTAGCTCATCATTAAGCAGCACTGTGTTCTTTAAGAGGATCTATATCTATGCCACCATGTTTTCACTGTCCTGTTGAGACAATGGAACAGATGTCGGGGTTAAGGTTGTAAGATGTATTGTAGCCAGTGGCTCCTACTTGCCACGTTATCTCAGCAACATTCTGCAGCTCTATCTGAGGAACCCTGAGGGGTTCCCAGGCCATATGGCATATTAGTCCCTCCAACATGTTCTTAGTGGCCCCCAGAGTCTCCTCTTTTCAGCCACAGGGAGCCCTCGTGAAGGCATCCCAATCAGAAGCTAAACCACATTCACTGGCTCCTTTTTAATGCACAGGAGCTGCAGTTCTACTATGAGCTCTTTCTAGATATCTGAACTCCTCTCCTTTGTCCTTAAACATTGCAAACCAGTTATACCAAAATATTCAAACTTAAAGATCCACTTGAATAAACAAAGAGAGTAAGAGTATCTGGAACGCACATGACACCTTATCCTCATAGACAGATCATGGGATGGACTGTGCATGGCTGACAGTTGTGTGTGTGTGCGCACAGTTGTGATTTTGAATTTGGGTTGAAGCCAGAGAGGCACTTAAAGGATCAGAAAAGAGTTGACAGAGCAAATAAATCTTTTCTGCCTCTGCTTTCCTCTTTCTATTGTAATCTACTGTGTTCTACTGAAAGCTTCTGATCTAATATGTCTCTATTTCCTCATTTATCTGCTGTCAGACACATGAGTGGGGAAGCCTGTCTGTGTCTGTTTGTTATATGACCCACTTCAATTTCTTCCACTGGTGGGTTTTTATAGGCTCATCCGACATATTTAAAGTCTGGAATGATCTAAATTAAGATTGATTCATAATGCTATTGCTGCATTTCTTTCTTTCATCTCATTCATTGTCTCCCTCTCCTTCTCTTTCATACTTCTTTTGCATCCTGTTTTCTTTGTAAATTTATGACAGAGGTTATCACAGAGCCAACATGTGTTTCCATGTATTGGCTCCCCCTTTCATGTGAGGCACACACTAAGAACATACAGCAGTGACCTTTTATTTATGATCCACCATCAGCCTGTTTTCTCTCTCTCTCTCCCCTCAACACACACACACACACGCTTGCTGAGAGACAGAGTGCAGACAGTCAGGATGGAGAAGAGAGGCAGGGAGTGTTGAAGGATATATGACCATTCCTGTCACACATGCACACTATTACATGTATGGGAAAGAAAAAAATGTAAAATGCGTTGTTGTTGTGAACAATCCCCACAGCAAACATATTTAAATGTCTTTTATCGACAAGAAATAATTTTTAAAAAAAAAACTTTTTCCAAACACTGTTTTTTGTAGGACATTTACACATTATATTGTTCATAAAAATACAATATTTGATGAAATATATTTGTGACATTTTGCAACAGATTTCTTAACCACTAACAAGGTCACTGACTTCAGTCTATTTTTAAAACAACTATTTACTTATGAAAAAAGATACATTATGCAGTAAAATCAGTAAAATTGAAATTGTGCATCGATTGTTTCCGTCAGGGCTTTTCAAGTCCTTTTTTTTAAATGACAATGATATTGCAAATCACAGTTGATCAGTAATTGAGAATAAGTGAGAAATAAACACAGGGGAATTAAAGAGTATGTATTTTTTAAGGCTTTGGGTTGATAAAAACAAGCAAAACCTGTCAAGCCTCAGTAAACAGCTGGGGACTCAAAATGCACAACTCAGGTGTAGAATCAGACAAGTTTATTTACAGCAGGCAAAAAAAAAAGTAGAGGCAAAGGCAAGGGTTGCAGGTGTAATGAGGGGTGAGGAACAGGTGATCTGAGTGATGGCTGGAAAAACGAAGTCACTGCAGGGCTGGTGGAGGTGGCTG